TGTTAATTAATTAAGTTCTATCATAACTTTTTTTTGCGACATCATATTGTTAGTAAAAATTTTTTACTCTATTGTTACTCGTATTTTTACGTAATTAGCCCCTCACGTCTCGTATCACAAAAAAACATATTCAGGGAACTCCCCTATGTGGATAATAAATATCAACTCAACCATGAAAGTGTTTGCCTCATCAACTGACTGGAAAACCCTCCAAGAACACATAATCATGAGGTTAATAAACTTTATTTTAGTCCGTAATTTGATTCACAAAATTTTCAATTAACTTGAGATTGTTTGCACCTTATTATATGACCTCCTGGAACTTTGTTATAAGTGTACACAAAACCAAAATATTATGTGGGGAAATAGTTCGTTGATTGAGGCCTGTGTGGTTAGGGGGCTTCTGAATAAGAGCGTGGGTGACTAACCTTCTCAGAAAGTGTGTATTGAACGGGTCATTGAGGGCCGGGAAATGCTTGATGTAATGTGACCTCATTACAAACCTGGACAGTTTTGTGCCTTGAAGATAATGTTACTTTGTGGGGCATCAATTAGAAATAATATTAAGGTATGTTGACCAGACCACACACTAGAAGGTGAAGGGACGACGACGTTTCGGTCCGTCCTGGACCTTTCTCACAATCGACTTGAGAATCACCTATTTGTACTCACCTGAAGTGTGTGTGTGTGTGTGTGTGTGTGTGTGTGTGTGTGTGTGTGTGTGTGTGTGTGTGTGTGTGTGTGTGTGTGTGTGTGTGTGTGTGTGTGTGTGTGTGTGTGTGTGTGTGTGTGTGAGCAGTTATACTGACGTCACCAGCCATCACCACTCACGTGTTACGTGTCAGTCAGCTGTCACGGGCTGCTTCCTGGGGGTGGAGGCCTGGTCGAGGACCGGGCCGCGGGGACACTAAAGCCCCGAAATCATCTCAAGATAACCTCAAGATAACGTCAAGGACAGCCACCATCAGCAATGATTCTCAAGCTCTTAATTGCCCTCCACCTGATTGTTGTGGGAGATAGAGTCGTGGTGACTTTCTGGGGGAAAAAAATAAATATTTAATAAATATAAAAGAATATTATATAACCAACAAACTTGAATTATATTCCCCCATATTCTTTGCATGCCTCAGTGTTCTTTAATAGGCTTCCCTATTTTTTATATGCAACACCCTACATGAGTCTCTTGCTCCAAGATTTTCTTTCCTATCCAACTCATCAATCAGCTCTTTTATAACCTATTTTGTCTTACACATTAGTTTTTATGTTGGAGCTTGGGCCTTAGGCTAGGTACAGAAACCGATAAGGTAATCTAGCCCCTTTGTGTTCCTTGGAAGCGATCCGACTTGCGGTTTACATTCTGGTATCCATTTACTGCTGGGTGTTCAGGGGTAAACTGTGAAAGAATGGTGCCCAGTCGCCCTATCCTACCCACGGTATGAACCCTAATCGTTCTCGCTAGCGATGGGGGCGGATGAGGAAGCTTGTCACTGTACAATAGGGTAATATGTCTCTTTTTTATCTATTATATCTCTGAAGCATCATTGTCGATATACCATTTAAATGGCATCATACTCATCACTATCAAATGGTTTGATAATCCTTCAGATAATCCCTTTGTCTCTTTTGAATCATAATACAAATGTAAATGTTATTTTTAACATGTTAAAATATTTAAATGTTATATTTCATATATATACTTGCCACATATACTTTATTTAACATACATTTATGTAATTGTTTCACTAATATGTCAGTTTCCAGTTATTTTCATTTGTTGCCAGAATGTCAAGCACACTAACCAGGCAATTTTCAATGCCCATTTCTGCATGACAACACAAATTTCACAGTACGATGATTCATTGTCTCGTTGGAATCTTATCAACTTTGTTTACTAAACTCCTTGAAAAGTTAACATTATACACCATCGTCATTTAAAGGACTAAATGCGATTACCGTTGCCACACTGGTTCTTTCATGCTTGAATTTCAACCACACACACACATTAAGCTAAGCCATTAGAAGTAATTCGTTGCTTGTAGCATTCAACTTTCGTTCATGCTAAGACAAACTTAATCCTTACTTCTCTCATTCTATTCAACATATAGCGTTTTATTCGTTAAAAGTAATTATGACTCCTCACTTATCTGATTTTGTGCCCCCTTCTGCTCTGACATTTAATTATCATTCTCAGGTCTTCTAAGCTTTTCCTCATAAATCAAGGACATTAAACGTGCCTTACCATGAAAATGTTTATCCAAATCGTTCTACTACTTCTCTCACAAACATCTTAAACGTTCCTAAACTGAAAACGTTCACCCAAATCGTTCTACCACTTCTCTCACAACCATCTTAAACGTTCCTACCCTGAAAACGTTCACCCAAATCGTTCTACTGCTGTTCTCACAACTATACGCGTCGGTCTTTATATTCCAGGGACCAGGCAGGCGCTAGTGCTATATATTAGGTAGATTTTTTACTTTTCATGCGGGGTGAATTAAGATGAGTTTTCATCTTAATTTTCCCAGTCGACTAATGCATGATATACTGGACCACTTCGCCTGTCATCGTGTGGCTATCGTCGGGGGCTGGTATATTCACAGGTTTCATTAGCCCTCTAAAAGGTCTGTTCGAGACCCATTATTGTGTCGACATACGATAACATGTCTCTACAATTTCGCAGAATTACTGCCGAGATTGCCTTTAGTTCACGAAGAATGGGGTTTCAAGCTAATTGCCACCACCTTGTAAGATTAATTATAATAATTTCACTTGAGTCTAGCACATCAGAGTGAGGGGAAAATCTATTCCTTGTCGGTGAGCTAATAATTTCCTAATGATAGTTTAGTAAATCAGCTGTAGCAGTAGTATTAATAGTGCTTGTAGCTGATGGTTCCGTGCTCTTTCTTTCAATTAAATATTCATTCAAGTATATGTATATATATATATATATATATATATATATATATATATATATATATATATATATATATATATATATAAATATATATATATATATATATATATATATATATATATATATATATATATATATATATATATATATATATATATATATATATATATATATATATATATATATATATATATATATATAGAGGGAGAGCATTCTGTTCTTCCCTCCTGGCAACGTCTATTCAGATATCTGAATAGCAATACCCGAGAAAGAAGTTTAGTTTTCCCAGGTGATAACCTTGAAATATACTGGTTGGTCAGCTCTTATCTGCTTTTCCCACATACAAACTGCGTCAACACAGATATGTAGATTTGTTTATGCGTTAAATGTCTTTACATTTCAAGAGTTGCCGTAGAAATTGACAAAACAATAAAACAGGAAAGGCGTTGGAAACAATATATTACACAGAGGATATTATTGAATGCTATTCTGATTTGAAATAAAAAGCCTACAGAGTTTCCACTATTGACAAATTGACTATTTGTACAGCTTAAGTTACAAATTTACATAAATGGATCAGCCATATCAGTTTATATCAAAATTTTATTGGTATAGGATTTCTTCTGCTTCCTAAGAGTCACGTGTATTCGCTACTGACGGAAAAGAGCGTTTGGTTATCTTGCTGGTACCGTCTGTGGGGTTGACGGAGGAGGCATGCCACCATGTCCTTCAGTGGGGTGTTCGTGGGAGTGTTGACGGAGTAAGTATTCAGCCGGGAACTTGGTGAAGTTTTATCATTCGGGAGTGAGCTGAAGAAAACGTTAAGCAGCACCTTGCTTGTTCAAAGTAACTCCTTGTGAGGCTGACAAGGAAACGAACATCAGTGTTTTGGGAAAATGTCGTGCCACAGAGATTTTATTTTCTTGTTTTGCTTGTTGTGGTGGCCTCTGTAATAGTGTTTTGTCTGGCTCTGAAAAAATGACTGATACGTCAAGCTGAGGCCCCGGGTGCTACCCCACGTCAGGTGAAGACGTGACGCAAGGAGAGAGAGAGAGAGAGAGATAACACAATCGTGAGAATTGCTGTGGATTACTGCACCTGTCCTGTAACAGCGCTACCTGTACCTCACCTGTACGTATCACAATGATATAACACACCTGTAAACTGCTGGAAATGTCTTCACCTTGTGTATTTAATGTATTTATCATATTGTAGTATTTATATAATATACATGTGAGCTGCCACAACTGCCTTTTAAACGGGTGCACAGTGTAACAATCCCTGCTGTACCCGTCCTCTTGCTGAAGGGCGACTGTGCACAGCCTCACAGTATTTTGTTGAAACACCAATGTCCTCTTGAGCTGCTACACTTGTTTATATGCAAAAAAATACTTGCAAACTGTTGCATCAACCTTCAAACACACACATACACACACACACAGGATGGGACCTTAGGAGGGACCAAAGAGACAAAGCTCAAGCCCCGCAAGCACAATTAGGTGAGTACACACACACACACACACACACACACACACACACACACACACACACACACACACACACACACACACACACACACACACACACACACACACACACACACACACACACACACACACACCGCATCAGGCTTGGATACCCATGGGCATGGGAAATAGGCTTACAGGTTCCGGAACATTAGTGGAAATGTCAGCACTGTGGAGAAATGCCCGACAGACCACTGGAACATTATCTAACACAGTGCACAGTTACAAACCCATTAAGATTTCAACTTAGATTCAACAGAGCAGAAGAAGTTGTTAAACACATATGGCAAAATCTTACTGAAGCGACTATACGAGTCATAAATACTCATACTCCGCCCAAGTAAAACAGAAACAAGCAACACTTAGTGGGCCAGCCAGAGGCTTAGGGCCCGCGTAGGAATATCCCTGCAAAAAAAAAAAACACACACAGCCGCTTCAAAAGTAGCGAGTACAAAAAAATAGCGAAACAGCGAGACAGGAGTTTGACAGAACACAAGTAGAGCAGCTAAGGGGGCACCTGAAGGCCACAACAGTACAGATGTCAGGAGAGTCTATAGTCCGAACCAAGTGCTAAAGATAGCGAGGGAGCCTCGGAGGGTATATAAGGGCTGCGACTCTATCTCCCTTCACCAGTGTGTCTCAAGCCTCAGACATGACCAGAGTCCTCGTCCAGGTCCTCCTGCTGGGGCTCGTCAGCCTCGCCCTCCTACACCCAGGTACTGACTCAGGTCCTCACCCACCTACACCCAAGTACAGACTCAGGTCTACACCCAGACACTGACTCAGGTCCTCACCCACCTACACCCAGGTACTGACTCAGGTCCTCACCCACCTACACCCAGGTACTGACTCAGGTCCTCACCCACCTGCACCCAGGTACTGACTCAGGTCCTCACCCACCTACACCCAGGTACTGACTCAGGTCCTCACCCACCTACACCCAGGTACTGACTCAGGTCCTCACCCACCTGCACCCAGGTACTGACTCAGGTCCTCACCCACCTACACCCAGGTACTGACACAGGTCCTCACCCACCTACACCCAGGTACTGACTCAGGTCCTCACCCACCTGCACCCAGGTACTGACTCAGGTCCTCACCCACCTGCACCCAGGTACTGACTCAGCTCCTCACCCACCTACACCCAGGTACTGACTCAGGTCCTCACCCACCTACACCCAGGTACTGACTCAGGTCCTCACCCACCTACACCCAGGTACTGACTCAGGTCCTCACCCACCTACACCCAGGTACTGACTCAGCTCCTCACCCACCTACACCCAGGTACTGACTCAGCTCCTCACCCACCTACACCCAGGTACTGACTCAGGTCCTCACCCACCTACACCCAGGTACTGACTCAGGTCCTCACCCACCTATACCAGGTACTAACTCAGGTCTTCACCCACCTACACCCAGGTACTGACTCAGGTCCTCACCCACCTACACCCAGGTACTAACTCAGGTCTTCACCCACCTACACCCAGGTACTGACTCAGGTCCTCACCCACCTACATCCAGGTTCTCCAGGTATTACATCGCCCTCATTTTCCCTACCCTCCCCTTATCTTCCCTAAACCCCAATATATGAAATCATGAAAAGGTTCGAATAAATGGCGTGAATAACGATAATACTCTACGGACATCACATCCCATATTTCATTTGCGAATATTTGAAAATCGCATGGGGGTGTTGAGTTATAGGTTATATTTCTTAAAGCATTTAATGTAGGCCTACCCTGTAAGTCCCATTCCCCATACTGTTCCTCCCTACAAATTTGGGTGAGGATAACTCCAATCCTCTGACCTCCAATATATATATATATATATATATATATATATATATATATATATATATATATATATATATATATATATATATATATATATATATATATATATATATATATATATACGTCGTACCTAGTAGCCAGAACGCACTTCTCAAACTACTATGCAAGGCCCGATTTGCCTAATACGCCAAGTTTTCATGAATTAATTGTTTTTGGACAACCTAACCCACCTAACCTAACCTAACCTAACTTTTTCGGCAACCTAACCTAACCTAACCTATAAAGATAGGTTAGGTTAGGTAGGGTTGGTTAGGTTCGGTCATATATCTACGTTAATTTTAACTCCAATATAAAAAATGGACCTCATACATAACGAAATGGGTAGCTTTATCATTTCATAAGAAAAAAATTAGAGAAAATATATTAATTTAGGAAAACTTGGCTTATTAGGCAAATCGGGCCTTGCATAGCTGGCCGAGTACGACGTTCTGGCTACTAGATACAACATATATATATATATGAATGAAAACTCACACCCCAGAAGTGACTCGAACCCATACTCCCAGAAGCAACGCAACTGGTAACTACAGGGCGCCTTAATCCGCTTGACCATCACGGCCGTCAAAAGGAAGTGATAGCCGAGGCTATTTGAGCCACTTCCCCGACGGCAACTCGGATGGTAATCTTGGGCATAGCATTTCACCAAATCACCTCATTCTTTGGGGCACACGTGAATGAGGTGATTTGGTGAAATGCTATGCCCAAGATTACCATCCGAGTTGCCGTCGGGGAAGTGGCTCAAATAGCCTCGGCTATCACTTCCTTTTGACGGCCGTGATGGTCAAGCAGATTAAGGCGCCCTGTAGTTACCAGTTGCGTTGCTTCTGGGAGTATGGGTTCGAGTCACTTCTGGGGTGTGAGTTTTCATTCGCATATAGTCCTGGGGACCATTCAGGCTTGTTCGCATATATATATATATATATATATATATATATATATGTGTGTGTGTGTGTGTGTGTGTGTGTGTGTGTGTGTGTGTGTGTGTGTGTGTGTGTGTGTGTGTGTGTGTGTGTGTGTGTGTGTGTGTGTGTGTGTGTGTGTGTGTGTGTATGACAGACAAAATATGTAATGCATTTATTGTGTTTCATTTATATTTACACAAACATAATTTTATCGATATTGAAATGCTTCATTAATTATTTGCAAGTGTGATTAATGAAGTGAATAATTAAGATTGTGAGCAGATTATTAGGCTACATAAGTAGTATAAACGGGACAGTAATTCTGTATTAATTGATTTGTTGCTGCAGCTTAGTGCAGCCTGTTAGACGTCAGGCTGCGAGCAGCCGCGTCTAACAGCCTGGTTGATCAGTCCAGCAACCAGGAGGCCTGGTCGACGACCGGGCCGCGGGGACACTAAGCCCCGGAAGCACCTCAAGGTAGCCTCAAGGTAGGTAGCTTAGTTCATGACTGCATGTTCATGAAACTATATTTGCTTTAAGAACCTGTTAGGGATTACGTCTAGGGAACCAATAGAGACTTTGGGATTGTACCGAGGCCTCTTTGGCCGTGCTTCGAAACGTTCACTTATCATGTATTTCCGGAGACTGAAGAGTGATTATAATTATATACAAGATTATATATAAGCGCAAAGCCCGAAACGCTTTGCGTAATAGTGGCTTTAGGCATTGTATGTACAAGCTCTATCTATAAACTCATCAATATTTCTATCATATTCGGGAGCCGGTCGGCCGAGCGGACAGCACGCTGGAGTTGTGATCTGTGGTCCCGGGTTCGATCCCGGGCGCCGGCGAGAAACAATGGGCAGAGTTTCTATCACCCTATGCCTCTGTTACCTAGCAGTAAAATAGGTACCTGGGTGTTAGTCAGCTGTCACGGGCTGCTTCCTGGGGGTGGAGGCCTGGTCAAGGACCGGGCCGCGGGGACACTAAAGCCCCGAAATCATCTCAAGATAACCCCTTGTATGTATGTACTTTACCTGAATAAACATTTTAATTTTGAATTTTGAAAAAGAGTGTTTTCCCTATAGTGAGTGCGTGGCTTTCCTTCCAGGTGTGGAGGCTCAGATGTGTGACACGATCACCATCATGACGGAGACACAGAACAGCTACGATGGTAACTTCACCTCCGAGACCCTGGTTCCTCTTAACGGTCTCGACGTCGTCATCACCTTCGACAGCCCTCTGAACGGCTTGTCTGTGAGTGACAACTTCTCGTTGACCAGACCACACACACTAGAAAGTGAAGGGACGACGACGTTACGGTCCGTCCTGGACCATTTTCAAGTCGATTGATAGGATGGACCGAAACGTCGTAGTCCCTTCACTTTCTAGTGTGGGGTCTGGTCAATATATTTCAGCCACGTTTTTGCAACTAATCGCCTGCACAACTTCTCGTCATGAACACCTTACTATTTATATTTTAAATTAAACTTGAACTTTGTTATTCAATGTTTCACTTTTATTTATAAAGTCTGATTTGCACTCAGTTAGAAAACCATATTTAAAAAATATATAATAACATACAAAGAAGTAATCACTATAATCTAAACAAGGGGATATATATACGTCGAGAGTTTAGTGTATATAATGTATATATCCAGCATAGTTTATATGCTGAGAGTATACTTTAATCCTGAACTATATCCAGTTCTAAAAGTACACAAGTATGCAAAAGTATACTTACTGGTTATAGTCACCAAGATTATTGTCTTGGCATCAACAGCCCTCCAGAGGTTGATTAACTTTAAGTCCGACACCTCACACACTCAACCTTGAGCAGTCTAACGAAGCTACTTTACCTTCAATAGTCTATATAATTTGCCATATATATATATATATATATATATATATATATATATATATATATATATATATATATATATATATATAAATAAATATATATATATATATATATATATATATATATATATATATATATATATATATATATATATATATATATATATATAGGTGTATACATATCTATAGGAGAGGATGTCTGATTGTTCGAGTTTGTAGCCCAGACGTTAGATGATAGCCTCACGAAACTTTCCAAAGTGACTGGCCTGTGTCTGGGGGTGGTCGTAGGTGATTCAGAATCAAACCCAATGTTCCTCAACTTTGCATAAAATGGCAACTGATATTATTTTCCATGGTGAATGATAAAGAAGATGGTGAGTGTTAGGGAAAGTGGCGAGTGACAGGGAAGGTGGTGAAGGATCGAGAGGAGTGGTGAAGGGTAGGGAAGGTGGTGCAGGAAACGGAAGGTAATGAAGGGTAAGAAAGGTGGTAAAGGGTTGTGAAGGTGACAAAGAAACTGGAAGATGTGTAGTTACCATGGTTACAGTGATGATACCATCACTGTTACACGGTTACAGTGTTAAAGATAATGTGTAGTGAAAACGTGGCGTCCGTCCTTCGAGTATGCCAGCAACCCTTCTCAAGTTATTGTATAAGAAAAATGCTGATAACTTATATCAGCAAATTTGTAAATACAATTATTATACCGACAAATATTAATATTACATTAGCATATAATTGTCACAGCTCTTGGACATCAAAAATACACGAATAAAAATAATAATCATAATGATAGTCCATCATTTTGACAGTTCTGGGACGGAGGAGTGGAGAAGATTGACGACACTCACTTCAGAATCACGAACCAGAAGTTCTTCGAGACTGGCGGGTATGTGAGCATCCACTTCCAGGCCCAGTACGACGAGGGCACCCACCCGAACGTCGTCTCTGTCCTCCTTAACGGCCAAGAAGCGTGTGGTCAGTCTCAAATATATTATGTGTGTAAATCATGAAAATTAACCCATGATGAAAAATGTGACAGTGTCAGACCACGGAGGAAGAAGGAAATTCCTGTTTCAATTCATCCTCCGTTGTCTGACACTGTCATATATTATATATATATATATATATATATATATATATATATATATATATATATATATATATATATATATATATATATATATATATATATATATATATATATATATACATGCATATATAATATATTTTCTATAGAGGTCAATATTTTCTGCCTTAATGCTCTTTCATTCGTCACTTTCATTCCTCATGACTCGACCTCCTTACAAGTCTCCTTTTCTGCACTTGCAGATGGACTCTTTTTCACGACCGAGTTCCCCTTCACCAACCCGTGTCCGGCCACCGGCATGGGGAGATACGACTACGCGCAGGTCTGTACCTCACACTGTCTCTTGTAACCAGTGACTTCATAACCTTAGAGGAATATGTTGTTACAATGGCGTCTGTTAATGTGGAAATATGTAAGATGAATTGCTGGTATGAAAGGCAGTTATTGCTTTGTTCACTGTCGATATTCTGCGTGTATTAATGTAACATGTTCTACACATCTTGCTGTAGTGTTTCCTCACTAACTGCAGCCGTACACGGTGTGGCTGAGCTACAGTTTAACAGACATGTGTGCCTTGCAGGCCCTGTGCATGTCCATCCTGTTCTACGAGGCTCAGCGCTCAGGTCACCTGCCCGAGGACCAGCGCGTCACCCCCTGGAGGTGGGACTCCGCCTTGGACGATGGTTCTGATGTTGGCCACGACCTTACTGGAGGCTACTACGACGGTGAGAGAGTGAGAGAGAGAGAGAGAGAGAGAGAGAGAGAGAGAGAGAGAGAGAGAGAGAGAGAGAGAGAGAGAGAGAGAGAGAGAGAGAGAGAGAGAGAGAGCTAGCTCACCCTCCCTGCCTGACCCTCACCTTCTCTCCTCAACAGCTGGAGATCACGTCAAGTTCGGCTTCCCGATGGCCTACACCGCCACAGTGCTGGCCTGGGGCCTCCTCGACTTCCCTCAAGGATACGCCGCCGCTGGTCAGTAATTACTGTTTATAGTTTATCTCGTTTAAGCAGTTTTGCAGTAAAATAATTGGTGAAAAACTTATAAGTTAAACAAAACTGAAATGTTAAGAACACGCTCATATGTTCACAAAACATCAGAACACGTTGATAACTTGTACATCAACACCAGGCTCACATGTTCACGAGACATCAACAACATACACAAGGAACTTCTAACATGTGCAGGCGATAAGTCACAATAACCTGGCTGAAGAAATGATGGCCAAACTACCCATCAGAAGGCAGAGAAACGACGACGTTTCGGTCCGTCCTGGACCATTATCAAATCGTGGGTCTTGATAACGGTCCACGAGGGACCGAAACGTCGTCGTGTCTCCATCTTCTGATGTGTGGTTTGGTTATCGTACTTCAAGCGTGTTCAAAAACGCGCTCTCAACGCCCCATAACACATACTAAGGTAGAAGTACTAGAGTGCCTCCTGCCCACAGGTCAGACGGAGTACGGGCGTGCAGCTGTCAAGTGGGCCACCGACTACTTCCTCAAGGCCCACACTGCTGAGTACGAACTGTACGGCCAGGTACGTCCACTGTCTCTCACTGTACGGTTAAGTAAGTCCACTGTCTCTCACTGTATGGTTATTTACGTCCACTGTCTCTCACTGTACGGCCAGATACGTTCACTGTCTCTCACTGTATGGCCAGGTACGTCCACTATCTCTCACTGTACGGCCAGGTACGTTCACTGTCTCTCACTGTACGGCCAGGTACGTTCACTGCCTCTCACTGTACGGCCAGGTACGTTCACTGCCTCTCACTGTACGGCCAGGTACGTTCACTGTCTCTCACTGTACGGCCAGGTACGTTCACGGTCTTTCACTGTACGGTTAGGTACGTCCACTGTCACTGTACGGCCACTAACGTCAAATGTTGTTTATCTCGTGTGGTCTTCACTAATTAGTTTCTCCTGTGTAGGAAGTTGAACCCTAACTAGTCTGCCAGGTGAGAGTGCTAATCAACCGGTAATAAGTTAGCAAATTACCAATACTAGTAGTATCAGTCGCGGGCAACATTAATCACGTGCTTAACAGGCTCTCTAATTATCTGTAACCAGTGCAGCAGCTGGGAAAAAAAGAGTCACGAGCTGTATGATAACTAATTACTACAACTAGTTGTTCAACAAATAGTCTTCGCCCTGTGTTATATTATTGTGAGTCGTATCATTCTGTACTGGCACATATATGGTGCAGAAGATGGTAACTGTTTGGTTGTGGTCACTTACTGTTTGGTTGTGGTCACTTACTGTTTGGTTGTGGTCACTTACTGTTTGGTTGTGGTCACTTACTGTTTGGTTGTGGTCACTTACTGTTTGGTTGTGGTCACTTACTGTTTGGTTGTGGTCACTTACTGTTTGGTTGTGGTCACTTACTGTTTGGTTGTGGTCACTTACTGTTTGGTTGTGGTCACTTACTGTTTGGTGTGGTCCCCAGGTTGGTGCAGGAAACACTGATCACAGCTACTGGGGTCGACCTGAGGACATGCACATGGAGCGACCTTCCATGAAGATTGACTCGAGCGCCCCAGGTAAGTGCTCTCCAGAGTTGTTGTGTGTCTCAGGTCTCGCAAGATATCTGAAGATATAAAATAAACGGATGTTTGACTGATAACCTTCGCAGCTGTTGCTGTTACTAGCAAGGACCTTAAGAGTGTTTTCCTTTGAAATATAATTACATTTTTTTAAAATTTGATGTAAATTATGTTATAATAAACTGCATACATTCATGGGTCAGCAGTGTAATTTGTGTTTACAAGGCAGCTAATCACACACACATCAGTTCGGACATTATTTACTGTTAGGTTAATTTGGGTTGATCATTGCTTTAATAGGTTTGAAGAGGTCACTTACTGGTTCCTTTTTTTCCAGAGATGAGTTTAGAGGCGGCTGAGAAAGCTTAACAAGTTGAAGACAGTGAGACATATTTTGTTTAAACCTCGTGTCTTGTGGTCAATAATACTATTGTGGTGTTGCTCCTGCAGGTAGTGACCTGGCTGGGGAGACAGCAGCCGCCCTCGCTGCCGCCTCCATCGTCTTCAAGGTGAGGTTCTCTCTGGCCTGTCTCACTTCCCCCTCCCTCTGGCCTGCCTCACTTCCCCCTACCTCTGGCCTGCCTCACTTCCACCTCCCTACCTTTGACCTGCCTCACACCCCCCTCCCTCTGGCTTGCCTTACTCCCCTCCTTCCCTCTGGCCTGCCTCACTCCCCCCTCCTTCCCTTGGCCTGCCTCACTCCCCCTCCCTCTGACCTGCCTCACTCTCCCTCTCTCTTGCCTGCCTCACCCCTCCTCCGTCAGGCTTGCCTCACTCCCCCTCCCTCTGACTTGCATCACTCTCCCTCTCTCTTGCCTGCCTCACCCCTCCTCCCTCTGGCCTGCCTCACTTCCCTCCTTCCTTCTGACCTGCCTCACTTCCCCTCCCTCTGACCTGCCTCACTCCAGCTATGCGGACCTAGCCCACTCCTCGTCCTGCTGACCTGTCCCACTCATTTTTCCTCCTTTACTGATATGAATCATGATCACTAAAGTGCTGCACTTTAACCTTAAGTCTCTGTGTAAATATTCTCGCTGCAACAAACCTTAAAGATCAACCACGTTGCAGGATGTTGACTCAGCCTACTCGGCCGAACTTTTAAGCTCGGCCAAGGAGCTCTATGCCTTCGCCGACGAGTACCGTCTTGAGTACCACAATTCCATCACAGACGCTGCTGCCTTCTACAGGTAAGTTGTTAACCATGTTGTTTGTAATCATGGTAAAATAATAATTAGTTGTCAAATTCTTCTAACCATATTTCCTACTTTGTATTTAGATGCATATGTTACAAAAAAAAAGAAGCTATAGTATGAATTCTGGTCAACACTGAAGATTTTGAGAGACTCTGATTGAGTAACTGTATAATTAGCATCAAATTACTAATTAGCCTGAAGTAAGATAAAGCCTTTGTACACCATCGGGTAAGGAGACAAGTAGGTTGTCTACGAGGCTGATAAATTACTCCATCCCTTCGAAGTACACAGACAGATTTTTTTTTTTTTTATTTAGTTTGTTGTCGACCTTAAGTCCTAACAATCATGGGAGTGCTATTATGGCTGCACAAAAGCTTGCTGCTCAATCAGTGAACACACTTTACTTGAAGGCTAGCCTAAACTTTCAGTGAATATATTCCGAAAAGGAGAATTACGTCTCCTAAAAGAAAATAAATGTCTACTAACTTGGACTTCGTTAATAAAATCTTACCGGCACATATATTACCATTTACTTGATTTTAAGATAATCGTACTGGAGATACTTCATGCACCTCAGGCCAGAGACACATGATAACCTGGGCACGTGGTGTCTCCCACAGGAGACACATGATAACCTGGGCACGTGGTGTCTCCCACAGGTGACACATGATAACCTGGGCACGTGGTGTCTCCCACAGGTGACACATGATAACCTGGGCACGTGTCTCCCACAGGAGACAGATGATAACCTGGGCACGTGTCTCCCACAGGAGACAGATGATAACCTGGCCACGTGTCTCCAACAGGAGACACATAATAACCCGGGCACGTGGTGTCTCCCACAGGAGACACATAATAACCTGGGCACGTGTCTCCCACAGGAGACAGATGATAACCTGGGCACGTGTCTCCCACAGGAGACAGATGATAACCTGGCCACGTGTCTCCAACAGGAGACACATAATAACCTGGGCACGTGGTGTCTCCCACAGGAGACACATAATAACCTGGGCACGTGGTGTCTCCCACAGGAGACACATGATAACCTGGGCACGTGGTGTCTCCCACAGGAGACACATAATAACTTGGGCACGTGGTGTCTCCCACAGGTCGTGGAGTGGGTACGGGGACGAGTTGCTGTGGGGGGCGCTGTGGCTGTACCGCGCCACAGGAGACGACACCTACCTCACCAAGGCTCAGGCGGCCTGGGACGACTTCTCGCTGGGGGAAGGCGCCCTCCAGTTCTCCTGGGACGACAAGAAGGCCGGCGCTTACGTAAGCAAATGCTATTACACATAGTAAATAGACCAACAAAATTGTGCCAACTTATTCAAATGGAATAATTATTTTAGTATTGATTAATATCAGGCTTCATATGTTTAGGCAAAGATATTACTATATCAGGATAATTGCTAGATAGGAGTTAATGCAGAGTTAAGAACTTAATGCGCGCCAATTGCTGGGAATTAAAATTGTCGAAATTTTCCCAAATTTTCCAAGAATTGCGTGGCAATGAGGCATAAATTAAGTTCCTCTGGCTGTCAACCACTTACGTTATTGTATTTTTTTCTCCATATTTATAATAATTCATATTTATAATCATTTTTATTTACATATCAACGTTACTCATACTATTCGGATCTATTAGAACATATCAAATGATGATTACTATTAATGTTTATAAGTATGATTTTATGTACTTCTTGTCTGCCTCAGGCGCTGGGGTCACTGGTCGACCCCAGCAACACCAAGTACGCGGACGCCCTCAAGGCGTTCCTGACTTACCTGAAGAACGACGCCCAGTACACACCTGGAGGCCTGGTCTTCCTGGACCCTTGGGGCTCGAACCGTCACGCTGCCAACGTCGCCTTCATCTCCCTCTGGGTCAGTCCAACAGTGTAACAAAGACACCGACAAGCACCGTATCATTGGTTGCAATTATCACCATATTGGAATTATTACTATAGACTGAGAGACTAACAGTTAACAAACATATACAACCCGGCTGTTATTACCTGCAGGCGGCCAAGTACGGAGACCCAGCTGACGCTGCGGCCAACAGGGAGTGGGCTGACGGTCAACTTGGCTACATCCTGGGTGACTTCGGTCACTCCTTCGTCGTGGGCTTCGGTGTAGACCCGCCCACACGCCCCCACCACCGCTCCAGGTGCGTCCCCGCATCTCTCTACTGTTACAGTCACTACCACCACTCACATGAAGCACTATCATCCCTACCTGCTGCCACAGTCACAGTCACTACCACCACTTACATGAAGCACTATCATCCCTACCTGTTGCCACAGTCACAGTCACTACCACCACTTACATGAAGCACTATCATCCCTACCTGCTGCCACAGTCACTACCAACACTCACATGAAGCACTATCATCCCTACCTGTTGCCACAGTCACAGTCACTACCACCACTCACATGAAACACTATCATCCCTACCTGCTGCCACAGTCACTACCACCACTCACATAAAGCACTATCATCCCTACCTGTTGCCACAGTCACTACCACCACTCACATAAAGCACTATCATCCCTACCTGTTGCCACAGTCACTACCACCACTCACATGAAGCACTATCATCCCTACCTGCTGCCACAGTCACTACCACCACTCACATGAAGCACTATCATCCCTACCTGCTGCCACAGTCACTACCACCACTCACATGAAGCACTATCATAAAGCATGAAACCTTAAATCGACTCACTAGTTAATTTTTCTCTTCTAAAACCTATAAAATAAAAATATGAAAATTATAATTTCCTGTTTAAGCAACGAGTGAGAAACGCGTTGTCTGTTCTCACTAGAGTGATTTTGTTCACAATTATGACGGAGATTCAAGACAGTCGTGCTGTTTCCTTCCCCACAGCTCGTGTCCCATTCCACCACAGTCGTGTCTGCACAACCAGTGGGGCCAGAACCAGCCAGGACCCAACCCACACACCCTCTACGGCGCCCTCGTCGGCGGCCCCGACCAGGTACTCACCTCATCTAGTTGTGCTTGCGGGGATTGATACCTGGTTGATGGGGTTCTGGGAGTTCTTCTACTCCCCAAGCCCGGCCTTGAGGCCAGCCTTGACTTGTGAGAGTTTGGTCTTTGAGTTTTGGCTCTTTGGTAGGTGGGTTGCTAATGCGTCACAATTTCGATGTGTGACTGAAATTAAGTACACCGGAAAGTTTTTTGCTTCCCTGGCAATGAACGTAGGTTTTGACAGGTTGGGTGAGTTGCTCTGGTTCGTAGGCAAAATCACTTGAGATTTGTCGCTGGTTCTAACTCATTTTATATGAGCATGAGTTATAAAGTGCCCTCTATAGTTAACCGCTTGAATATCATTCGTTCAAATTTATTGTTGGGAATTTATTTTGTCTCCAACTGTATCTTACATGTTATGTTTTGAGCATAACATATGTTATGTTTTTGAAAAATATAAAAATAAGACTTGAAGAACATTAATGTCGTATTTTGGTAAACGAACACATGATTTACACTCTAAAGTTCAAACAAAACACAAACAAAAAAGTTTAAATGATAAAATGCTGATTAATTAGATAACAAAAAGCACCGTGCATCAAACGCTATCTTCAAAAGAAATCATCTCTGTTTGACCCTTAGATTATATAGGGGTAAAATAGGTGGTATTAATAGTGGGTGTGGTTAGTATTCCATTCTTCGACCTTCCTCTTAAGTCAGAATACTCCGAGTTGAAGTGTTCTTCTCCTTACAGTCTGACGGTTACACTGACAGCCGCCAAGACTACCAGCACAACGAGGTCGCCTGCGACTACAACGCCGCCTTCAGTGGAGCTCTCGCCGCTATGGTCGAGCTTAACTAGACGTCGACCTCCTGAGCCATGAGTCTGGTTGAGTTCAACTAGACGTCGACCTGAGCCATGAGTCTGGTTGAGTTCAACTAGGCGTCGACCTGAGCCATGAGTCTGGTTGAGTTCAACTAGACGTCGACCTCCTGAGCCATGAGTCTGGTTGAGTTCAACTAGACGTCGACCTCCTGAGCCATGAATCTGGTTGAGTTCAACTAGACGTCGATCGACCTCCTGTGCCATGAGTCTGGTCGAGTTCAACTAGTCGTCGACCTCCTGTGTCATGAGTTTGGTTGAGCTCAACTAGACGTCAACTTCCTTTGCCATGAGACTAGTTGAGCTCAACCAGATAACAACAGATTGTCACATGAAATTCGTCGAAATCCACCTAATTAAACGTTCATGGAATCAGTCGATCAGGGCTAATGACCTCAGTAATAATCATACAAAATTATGTCTATTGAATTCGTTTCTCAAATATATATTGAAAAAAATGTGTAGATATTTTAATACCACTGTGTTCTGTATTGACAATATTTTATCAATGTCGTCTATTCTGTAAAAACAACAAAGTTTATATCTGTAAAAAGAGATAAAGATGAGCAGTGAAGATATGTCAAATGACCCTCCAGCAAAGCCGGGCTGGAGGTCTTATATGAGATATTTATAGCCTGCAATGTAAACAGAGACGGTGACAGGCTTGTCCCAGCTGCTGAGGTAATGAGTAGGGGGCCGAGGTAGACACTTCCAGGGCACTGTCTGTCTCTGCCTCTACTTGGTTGATTGTTGACGTAGCATGGAACCCAGCCTTGTCCATCGGTGGAGCATCATCCATGGGATGGTTAAGTCATAGGGGGTCCACAGCAGCCTCCTTGAGGTAGAACCGTCCGGGAGAGAGCTGAGGAAGATTGCAGGGAGACACAACTTGCTTGCTCAAAATAATTCCATGTGACGCTGAGAGAGAAACAGCCAGTATTGTTGTTTTTGTCCTTGTAAAGGTCGTGCATCACACGATTTCATTATTATTGTTTCGTGTCATCTCGTAACCCGTAGGGGGAGAGGTGAGACGGGGGTTATTTTTGTTATAGATTCAGCCACTCGGAACAAAACGTTCCAAGCAGCACGGGTTATGGTGAGCCCGTAGTGGACTTGAAGGGGTGGTGGATCGTGTGTTGTTGCACGGTTACACAAGACTCTTGAAGTCTTGTGTAACCGTACAACAGAGAACAGACTCCTGTTCCCCTACATTAGGTAGAAGAACAGAGGTACCAAAGGTATCAGAAGTCACTGGTCATCCACTTAGTTACTCACCGTACAGGTTTGTATAATCTAATCAATGAGGATTAAATATATTTTGGAAGAAATATTGCGACACAATAATAACGATAGAAATATTAATCACAATTTTTTCAACCGGCCGTAATGCACTGAATAATAATGACCCAGAATGATCAATTCATGAATTATAATAATAATGAACTCAACTAATCCATTCTCTGTGTCAGTCATACTCTCAGCTATCCGTAAATTAAACTTCACTTCAGGCGCCATTGCTTCATAATGGAATATTTACGCATGACAGAGTATCTCTATACTTTCAATAACCAGTTATATAAAATATATAAACCTAAATCTGGTAAAAAAAATATATAATTTATACAAATGTCTGAGTCGCCTCTAGCACTGTATGTCAACTCTTGGCCCGAAATAAGCACTGATCGACAACCCCCTCATAGCAGACCATCTCAGATCTGAAGCTGTTATAGACCATCTCAGACCTCAAGCTGTCACAGACCGTCTCAGACCTCAAGCTGTCAGTTCACACATGAACTTCGAAGAGCAAGCATGTCATTCGACTTCTATTGCTACTAGACCAATAGAACTTCTTGTGTCTTGGTCTTGACATTGGGTTCACATGTCATTGAATGTTACTTTGACCTTGCAAGGTCAACTGGTTCCTCTTGACTGAACCTCCAGCAGCATTCTGGTCCCAGATAGCAATGATGACATCCTGAAATTTCATTGCAAATGAGGTGATTTCTATGGAGTGGGGAGCAGTCTGAGGAGCCTTGACTGTATTGACGTATATGAGAAAATGGTTGATAACTATTGATGAAGACTCGGGTTAGTGAGTGTTGATGTGAACTAGTGATAACAAATGGTGAGTGCTGCTGTGAACAGCTGCACCTGCCCTCTAATTGTGCTTCATGTACCTGAACCTCGCCTGTAATCTACTCTACCTGTGTTCACCCAATGTTACATGTTCTTGTTCCTTTCTGTTATACATGTATTTATCATCTTGGTATCATGCACCTGTGAACTGATGCACCTGATTTTAAAAAGCGATGTACGTAGTGGATCTCTCATCACTAAATGTGCCTCTCGCCTTCCTCTAAAACAACTGTCAACTGCCTGATTTTTTTTTAAACAAATAGAGATAAATTTTGAGGAGGTTACCACCAATGCAGATTACGTTACATATGTCACTTCAGCAGAAATAGAAACAAGCGACTGTAGCGGTGATTTACAATCCTCAGAGAATCACAGAAGACTCAAGTAAGAACACGAGCACAGAAACAGAGATTCCCTGAACAAATTGGGCCTGAATTATCCCCTTAGACTGTGAGCAATAATTCTAGTAATGGGAGAATGACAATCAATTAATAGATCAAAGAAGGGGATAGGAGACATGGAGACGAAAGCCAGTAGAAAGTAGCAGGAAATAAATCTGCAAACACAATATAATGGATAGGAAACATGAAGCAGAAAGGAAAGACCTAGCAGAAGAGTAGACCAAGTCTTCACACAAATGGATTGAACATTGAGAACATTGTGCAAATGACCATTACGCATTGGTCTTTGATTATTTCTGGCTATGAAGTTTCTTGCAAGGGGAAGAGAAAAGGAGAGCAGACTTTTAGCTTATTTAGGTGAACCACAATTTAAATGATATTCCCTCTAAGAATTATGATAATTTACAGTAATTTCAAATGAAATTATGCAGTAAAAAGAGAGCTAAGGGGCACCTGGAGGACTCAACCGTACAAACTTTAAAAAATTATATGTATTTACAAAGATTGAGCCAAGTGCTAAAGATAGCGAGGGAGCCTCGGAGGGTATATAAGGGCAGCGACTCTATCTCCCGTCACCAGTGTGTCTCAAGCCTCAGACATGACCAGAGTCCTCGTCCAGGTCCTCCTGCTGGGGCTCGTCAGCCTCGCCCTCCTACACCCAGGTACTGACTCAGGTCCTCACCCACCTACACCCAGGTACTGACTCAGGTCCTCACCCACCTACACCCAGGTACTGACTCAGCTCCTCACCCACCTACACCCAGGTACTGACTCAGCTCCTCACCCACCTACACCCAGGTACTGACTCAGGTCCTCACCCACCTACACCCAGGTACTGACTCAGGTCCTCACCCACCTGCACCCAGGTACTGACTCAGCTCCTCACCCACCTACACCCAGGTACTGACTCAGGTCCTCACCCACCTACACCCAGGTACTGACTCAGGTCCTCACCCACCTGCACCCAGGTACTGACTCAGCTCCTCACCCACCTACACCCAGGTACTGACTCAGGTCCTCACCCACCTACACCCAGGTACTGACTCAGGTCCTCACCCACCTACACCCAGGTACTGACTCAGCTCCTCACCCACCTACACCCAGGTACTGACTCAGGTCCTCACCCACCTACACCCTGGTACCGACTCAGGTCCTCACCCACCTACACCCAGGTACTGACTCAGGCCCTCACCCACCTACACCCAGGTACTGACTCAGGTCCTCACCCACCTACACCCAGGTACTGACTCAGGTCCTCACCCACCTACACCCAGGTACTGACTCAGGTCCTCACCCACCTACACCCTGGTACTGACTCAGGTCCTCACCCACCTACACCCAGGTACTGACTCAGGTCCTCACCCACCTGCACCCAGGTACTGACTCAGCTCCTCACCCACCTACACCCAGGTACTGACTCAGGTCCTCACCCACCTACACCCAGGTACTGACTCAGGTCCTCACACACCTACACCCAGACACTGACTCAGCTCCTCACCCACCTACACCCAGGTACTGACTCAGGTCCTCACCCACCTACACCCAGGTACTGACTCAGGTCCTCACACACCTACACCCAGACACTGACTCAGGTCCTCACCCACCACCACATAGTTACTGACAATACACATGTATAAAGGTTCAGTCAGCTTTACCTCTATAACTAAAGAATAATACGAACAATTTTATTGATGTTAACATCCAGAGAACACAACCTCTCCTAAACTCACAACTTTCCCTTTTCCTTAGTAAGATCTTGCCCTGTTTATATTTGTTATATATTATGTTTATCCTCTAGATAACATCCTTATCATATGTTTATCCAAGATCTATTTCACAGGTCCTAAACTCCTCTATAACTTAGCACAAAAACATTTGGTAAAAGAGATATATTATTTGTGGCGTATGATGCGCTCAGCTGACTATCATGCAGGAATTATTCGTTAATATATACCTCCTTAGTTTATCGGTGCGTCAAACTGACATTGAAATCCTGTGCGTAAATTTTAGTAGGCGATGATATAAGGTGAGCGAATTATTAACGACCTCAGTATATATAAGGTTAGATTAATTGAAACCAAATGATATTTTAACTCAGATATTTATATGTGTGTGTAAGCAAACAAATATTGGTGTTCAGAGTATAAGGCTATCCCCTGACTGAGCGGTGAAACCATCACTTTAAGTACTAAATAAAGAACTGTCCGAACGCAGCAATCCTAAAGTGGTGTATTTCAACACAATCACGTCTGCTCGGACTCAATCAAAATTTCAGCGGTCGGTCCCAAGACGAAGTTCGTCCCTTGTACATTCATAAGTTACGTGCAAGGTTGCTTCGTCTTCAAAATATGTATATTTGAGTTCCTGACTCGGTAGTTCTGCATACGGGTGCTGAGCCAGTCACTCAGCCTCACCCACCTGCATAGAGGTGATGACCCAGTCACTCAGCATCACCCACCTGCGTACAGGTGATGACCCAGTCACTCAGCATCACCCACCTACGTACAGGTGATGACCCAGTCACTCAGCATCACCCACCTACGTACAGGTGATGACCCAGTCACTCAGCATCACCCACCTACGTACAGGTGATGACCCAGTCAGCCAGCCTACGTACATACCTCTAGGTCCTCACTCAGGTAATGGGTCACATTCCGATACAATACTAGTAAGTAGTTATCAAAAGAAGGCACCAAGTCAGAGAGACTATGTCTTTCTCTTTCCCTGCTTGAGGAGTCAAAGACATAGCTTGTCTTTTATTTACACAAGCACCATATATATCCAACGTGTAGAACCATAGATTGTGAGTATTAATAACATAGATTACGCTGTTATTCATAGATGAATAACAAAATGAATGTATGAGTGCTTGAGTAGTTTAGCTAGCTATCTATAGTAAGGAACCAAAGAAGGAAGAATACTCGCGTAGTTTACCATCTGTCGTGTAGAGGCAAAGACTGAGGAATGAACGTGTAGGTTTACCCTTCCAGGAGTGGAGGCTCAGATGTGCGAGTCTGTCACTATCATGTTCGAGTCGCTAAACACTTATGACGGCAACTTCACCTCCGTGACCCTGGTTCCTCTCATTGGCCTCGACGTCCTCATCACCTTCGACGCCGCCGTCAAGAACGTGGCTGTGAGTGATGGCTTTGTTAATCTGACGGCGCGACCAGAACAGCTTTTTAACCATTTTTTAACCATTTCAGTTTCGACTGACTAGTTATTTCAGTGTTTCATTTTTTGTTTATAGATTCATGCAAGGAAACCCCTCCCCCCCCCCAACAGTGAAGTAGGATAATAATTTATTATTTTTCTATTTCACTGTATTTTTTTAGCATTTTGAGAAAACCTGTTATGAGATATTCTGCGTCTGTAGATTAATACACACACACACACACACACACACACACATATATATATATATATATATATATATATATATATATATATATATATATATATATATATATATATATATATATATATATATATATATATATATGCGAACAAGCCTGAATGGTCCCCAGGACTATATGCGAATGAGATTACCATCCGAGTTGCCGTCGGGGAAGTGGCTCAAATAGCCTCGGCTATCACTTCCTTTTGACGGCCGTAATGGTCAAGCGGATTAAGGCGCCCTGTAGTTACCAGTTGCGTTGCTTCTGGGAGTATGGGTTCGAGTCACTCCTGGGGTGTGAGTTTTCATATTCATATATATATATATATATATATATATATATATATATATATATATATATATATATATATATATATATATATATATATATATATATATATATATATATATATATATATATATATAGCTATATAGAGCTATAACAACTTATTATTGAAAATATTATAAAATTCAAAAGAGCTATCAAACTACCCCCCAAAAAGGAGACATAGACTGAGAAAAACACCCAATTTCTCGTATCGGTGGATATACTTTGAGTATACACAATATATAATAGGTTTAGAGTGTTTGCGAGATATATTATTATATAACGAGAAAGATGACATAGTATTTTGAAGAACATTTACATTCAAATATAATAATATTAATAATAATTATGTTATTCTATAACTTTTAACATTTTGTTACTACTGGTGATATAATAAAGTTGGTCTATTATATATTCACAGTTCTGGGAAGGTGGCGTTGAAATGATAGACAACACTCACTTTAGAATCACAAGTCAAAAGTTCTTTGAGACGGGCTATGTGATGATCCATTTCCAGGCTAATTACGACGAAGGCACCCGTCCAAACGTGATCTCATTCATCGTGAATGGCCAGGAGTCGTGCGGTGAGTCTGAATTCATCACTCCTGTTTATATAGCTTCAATTCACCATTAGCGTATCTGAGTAAGCTAGCCAGAGATACGCTAGCCTTACGCTTGCGAGCTCAGCTTTACGTCGGACAGGTAACTGAACACTGCCAAAGCTCGTAGTGCAAATTTGCCTAACCTTGAGCTATCAGATCCGTTCAATATATATAGAAGACCGGGCTGTGTCCCTTTACACCGATCTGAAGTTTTTAGGATAACCACTAGTTCGGAAAAAGTTGTTATATAGAACAGATTACTGAGTAGATAACTTAATAGATTTCTGATTGATGGACTGTTTCATGCAAGCATATATGCATATATGTATATATATATAACATATATTGTGATTCCTCAGTATTAGGGACACACAAGTTCCTGGAACAGGCACGCCATAGACAACTCCTGACCGTGCCCACTTGGGCATACGGGAATGCACGGGGTATCTAAACAATTCTTAACACTCCTTACAAGTTACCTTTAAACCACTTCCAGAAAGAATCGAGTACACTACAGAGTTCCCCTTCACCAACCCGTGTCCGGCCACCGGCATGGGGAGATACGACTACGCGCAGGTCTGTACCTCACACTGTCTCTTGTAACCAGTGACTTCATAACCTTAGAGGAATATGTTGTTACAATGGCGTCTGTTAATGTGGAAATATGTAAGATGAATTGCCAGTATGAAAGGCAGTTATTGCTTTGTTCACTGTCGATATTCTGCGTGTATTAATGTAACATGTTCTACACATCTTGCTGTAGTGTTTCCTCACTAACTGCAGCCGTACACGGTGTGGCTGAGCTTCAGCTTAACAGACATGTGTGCCTTGCAGGCCCTGTGCATGTCCATCCTGTTCTACGAGGCTCAGCGCTCAGGTCACCTGCCCGAGGACCAGCGCGTCACCCCCTGGAGGTGGGACTCCGCCCTGGACGATGGTTCTGATGTTGGCCACGACCTTACTGGAGGCTACTACGACGGTGAGAGAGTGAGAGAGAGAGAGAGAGAGAGAGAGAGAGAGAGAGAGAGAGAGAGAGAGAGAGAGAGAGAGAGAGAGAGAGAGAGAGAGAGAGAGAGAGAGAGAGAGAGAGAGAGAGAGAGAGAGAGAGAGAGAGAGAGAGAGAGAGAGCTAGCTCACCCTCCCTGCCTGACCCTAACCATCTCTCCTCAACAGCTGGAGATCACGTCAAGTTCGGCTTCCCGATGGCCTACACCGCCACAGTGCTGGCCTGGGGCCTCCTCGACTTCCCTCAAGGATACGCCGCCGCTGGTCAGTAATTACTCTTATACGCCTCCGCTGGTCAGTAATTATTCCTATACGCCGCCGCTGGTCAGTAATTATTCCTATACGCCTCCGCTGGTCAGTAATTATTTCTATACGCCGCCGCTGGTCAGTAATTATTTCTATACGCCGCCGCTGGTCAGTAATTATTTCTATACGCCGCCGCTGGTCAGTAATTATTCCTATACGCCGCCGCTGGTCAGTAATTATTCCTATACACCTCCGCTGGTCAGTAATTATTCCTATACGCCGCCGCTGGTCAGTAATTACTCTTATACGCCGCCGCTGGTCAGTAATTACTGTTTATAGTTTCTATCTCGCTTACTCAGTTGTGCAGTAAAATAATTGTTAATAAAATTTATGTTATGAACTATATAAATAAGCATCTCAAGAACATATTCACATCTTTACAAGCGTCAACAACACACGCACATGAATACAAGAACAGGTTCCCTGTATGTTATGCGAACAGCGTGCTCTCAACACTTCAAGAACATCCACTCAACAATATAACACTTGTAAGACTGTTCTGAAGGTCTTCCCATCCCACAGGTCAGACGGAGTACGGGCGTGCAGCTGTCAAGTGGGCCACCGACTACTTCCTCAAGGCCCACACTGCTGAGTACGAACTGTACGGCCAGGTACGTTCACTGTCTCTCATTGTACGGCCAGGTACGTCCACTGTCTCTCACTGTACGGCCAGGTACGTCCACTGTCTCTCACTGTACGGCCAGGTACGTTCACTGTCTCTTACTGAACGGCCAGGAACGTCCACACGTGTTTATTTCGTGTGGATTTACGAATTAACTCAAACCTAACATTATCCTCACTATTGCCATGATTTGATCATTAGTTGATAATATTTGTCTCTTAATTGAACAAGTACTGCAAGTAATCCTATTCGTCTGTGCTAGGGAGGTCCAGTTTAGTCTCATTTTCCCACGTGTGTGTGTGTGTGTTTGTTGTGTGTGTGTGTGTGTGTGTGTGTGTGTGTGTGTGTGTGTGTGTGTGTGTGTGTGTGTGTGTGTGTGTGTGTGTGTGTGTGTGTGTGTGTGTGTTTATGTGTGTTTATGTGTGTGTGTGTGTGTGTGTGTGTGTGTGTGTGTGTGTGTGTGTGTGTGTGTGTGTGTGTGTGTGTGTGTGTTTATGTGTGTTTATGTGTGTGTGTGTGTGTGTGTGTGTGTGTGTGTGTGTGTGTGTGTGTGTGTGTGTGTGTGTGTGTGTGTGTGTGTGTGTGTGTGTGTGTGTGTGTGTGTGTGTGTGTGTGTGTGTGTGTGTGTGTGTGTGTGTTTATGTGTGTTTATGTGTGTGTGTGTGTGTGTGTGTGTGTGTGTGTGTGTGTGTGTGTGTGTGTGTGTGTGTGTGTGTGTGTGTGTGTGTGTGTGTGTGTGTGTGTGTGTGTGTGTGTTTCTGTGTGTTTTTGTGTGTGTGTGTGTGTGTGTGTGTGTGTGTGTGTGTGTGTGTGTGTGTGTGTGTTTGTGTGTGTGTGTGTGTGTGTGTGTGTCGTTGTGTGTGTGTGTGTGTGTGTGTGTGTGTGTGTGTGTGTGTGTGTGTGTGTGTGTGTGTGTGTGTGTGTGTGTGTGTGTGTGTGTGTGTGTGTGTGTGTGTGTACGCGCGCGCGCGCGTATGTCTTCATGACATAAATAACTGATGCAGATAGTATGGTTCCAAATTTAATCTTATTACTTACTCTTTTATATTGTCCACAGGTTGGTTCCGGAGATATTGACCACAGGTTCTGGGGTCGACCTGAGGACATGTACATGGAGCGACCTTCCATGAAGATTGACACGAGTGCCCCAGGTCAGCACACTCCAGACCTACCTTCCCTTATCCCCCCAAAAATCATAACTCAAAATTAGAAAGACGTGATGAGATATTTAATTTAAAATATCTTTGAAGGTGTTCTTGCGTAGGAAAGTTTTCCGAGGATATTGGAGAGAGCTTGGCAATCCTATTGCCATTCTTGCCAATAGGATTGTCAAGAATGTTAAGAATGATTTCCTTTCATTTCTGATGTAAATATTAAGTTATAGAAAAAGGGTTTTTGCTACGTTAGTTACATTCTAATATACCTACATGGAACAGAATTACAACATGTGCCTATAATCACAGCATTCAAACCTTGTAACATTTGGCCCCAACCACTTGGACTGGTTGGTAAAGAGACAGCCTTGCTTCTTGCAGGTCGGCGTTCGATTCCTGATGGTCCAAGTGATTGGGCACCATTTCTTCCCTCATAGTCCAGATCATATCTTCATATCCCTCACAGGTGCTATACAGTCGTATTGACCTAGAACTTTACCCCTGATAATTACCTTAGCTTGGCAACCTCGTCTCATTTGAACAATACCATTTTGTGGTCAATAACACTATTGTGGTGTTGCTCCTGCAGGTAGTGACCTGGCTGGGGAGACAGCAGCCGCCCTCGCTGCCGCCTCCATCGTCTTCAAGGTGAGGTTCCCTCTGGCCTGCCTCACTTCCCCCTCCCTCTGGCCTGCCTCACTTCCCCTCCCTCTGGCCTGCCTCACTTCCCCTCCCTCCCTCTGGCCTGCCTCACTTCCCCTTCATTCTGGCCTGCCTCACTCCCCCTCCCTCTGACCTGCCTCACTCCCCCTCTCTAATGAAACAAGACACCACCACCTTGCTTCATATTATCCCAAGCGTTGCATTTCAAGTCTCTGAGGAGACATTTGCTCTACAACCAACATTTACCACCACCCGTGAGCTACAACCAACATTTACCACCACCTGTGTGCTACAACCAACATTTACCACCACCCGTGTGCTACAACCAACATTTACCACCACCCGTGTGCTACAACCAACATTTACCACCACCCGTGTGCTACAACCAACATTTACCACCACCCGTGTTGCAGGATGTTGACTCGGCCTACTCGGCCGAGCTCCTGGACGTGGCCGAGGAGCTCTATGCCTTCGCCGACGAGTACCGTCTTGAGTACCACAATTCCATCACCGACGCTGCAAACTTCTACAGGTGAGTTCTTAACTATTTTGTTTGTGAATACAAATCAACTTTAAGTAGTCAAATTCTGAGTACTAAATTACCTACTTATTTTATACATTGAAACATAAAGTAAACTTGTTTATATAATTCTCATAACTTGTTATAGCATTTTTAAACAGTTGAACAAATTTGAAATGGGAAAAGTAAATCGATCATAAGAAATCTAACAATATACTTCAACTCCCTCTCCCCCCCCCCCCCGCGTCTAACAGCCTGGTTGATCAGTCCAGCAACCAGGAGGCCTGGTCGACGACCGGGCCGCGGGGACACTAAGCCCCGGAAGCACCTCAAGGTAGCCTCAAGGTAGCAAGGTAGCCCCCCCCCCCACTTACCTCAGGGACAATATACACAGATAGAAACACATTCATATATTAGGGGTTAAACTTGTCACTCGCGGGATGGTTACTAAGGCCACATACAAGGTTACTGACCATCCAGACTGTATTATCTCCCAGAAAGTATAAGTATTATTAGAACGCCCAGGAAGTATAAGTATTATAGTATCCTGGGTATTCTGGACTAAATTTTTAGATATTCTTACCTGTATACAAAAAATGTTCGTCAACTCGTCAATTCGTCAATAAATGTCAAACTTTAATTGCGAGAAAAATCTCACGAATCTCTACATCATCTGCATGTATTTTAAAATAATCATAATATATTATGATTTTTTGTTGTCTTTGTAAGTTATAAATGCTTTGTTAAGTTATACGTAAGTAAGTTAAGTTATACGTAAGTAAGTAAATAAGTAAGTAATACGTAAAAATACAATACACAGTATTTAAAAAAAATCATATTTACCATATAAAGAATTTGTTATGTCCTTGTCGTGAATAAATTCCACTACATACAGAAATCAAAATAACGTGATATATCAAGACTAAGGCGCATTTGGGGATATCCCGTGCGTAGGTTCGAATCCTCATCACGGCCCTGGTGGATTTGTTCGTTTAAATTTCACTTTTAGAACTGGTGATATTTTGAATATAACCAGTTATTCAATTTCCGTTTTATATTTTCACATAATTAGAAAAAAGGTTATGAGATAAATTCGAGAAAAATTAATAATTAAATTGTTTTCGCAGATGAATATTTTTCGAGTATTTGAGAGAGAGAAAAAAAATTTGGGTATTATTTTTCGACTCAGCGTTGTAATATTATATAAATAAGCTATAATTAATGATATTTTAATATATAATAAATAATTATTTACTTCTGTTTGGTTTGGTTAGGTTAGGTTGTGCTAGGTAAGCTTAGGTTAGATCCAGGAGCTCCAGGATTATAAAATGTAAACTTTGACCTGTTTAGTTCTCACAAGGCATGCGGTCATCAGCCTTCGTCGCCTTATAAGCGTTTGGAAGGAAACACATCTTAAGGGTTGGTAATGATTAGAGCCGGGCTCTTGTACCTCAGGTGAGTGATACACGCTGACCTGCTGTGTGTACCTCAGGCCAGAGACACATGATAACCTGGGCACGTGGTGTCTCCCACAGGAGACACATAATAACCTGGGCACGTGGTGTCTCCCACAGGAGACACACAATAACCTGGGCACGTGGTGTCTCCCACAGGAGACACATGATAACCTGGGCACGTATCTCCCACAGGAGACACATGATAACCTGGGCACGTGTCTCCCACAGGAGACACATAATAACCTGGGCACGTGGTGTCTCCCACAGGAGACACATAATAACCTGGGCACGTGGTGTCTCCCACAGGAGACACATGATAACCTAGGCACGTATCTCCCACAGGAGACACATGATAACCTGGGCACGTGTCTCCCACAGGAGACACATAATAACCTGGGAACGTGGTGTCTCCCACAGGAGACACATAATAACCTGGGCACGTGGTGTCTCCCACAGGAGACACATGATAACCTGGGCACGTATCTCCCACAGAAGACACATGATAACCTGGGCACGTGTCTCCCACAGGAGACACATAATAACCTGGGCACGTGGTGTCTCCCACAGGAGACACATGATAACCTGGGCACGTGTCTCCCACAGGAGACACATAATAACCTTGGCACGTGGTGTCTCCCACAGGAGACACATAATAACCTTGGCACGTGGTGTCTCCCACAGGAGACACATGATAACCTGGGCACGTGGTGTCTCCCACAGGTGACACATGATAACCTGGGCACGTGGTGTCTCCCACAGGTCGTGGAGTGGGTACGGGGACGAGTTGCTGTGGGGGGCGCTGTGGCTGTACCGCGCCACAGGAGACGACACCTACCTCACCAAGGCTCAGGCGGCCTGGGACGACTTCTCGCTGGGGGAAGGCGCCCTCCAGTTCTCCTGGGACGACAAGAAGGCCGGCGCTTACGTAAGCAAAACAATATTTACATCTTAAATAGACCAACAAAGTGGTGCAATAAATCATAGCGCAATAACTATTTTATTGGTAATTACCTACTATAAAACCTCAAATATTAGGGAAAAAATAGCATAATATCATGATAAATGCCAGCTAGAAGTCAATAAAGTCTTGATCACACATCAGTTGCTGGTAATATAAACTTTCCAATGTTTCCTAAGCGAGGGTTGCATACTAATGAACCCATAAGATAAACAATAACCGCTGGCTATCAACACGTAAGTTACTGTGTGGTGGGTTTTCATCTAATTTGTAATGATACTTTACTCAAGAAACAAACTCTCACTCTTCGAAATCCTTATCAGCTTTCGAAGATAAGCTGAGAGTTTTGTGTTGTGTAGCTTCAATCTTTCTTGCATCTTCTTAGTACATTTTTAAATTAAATTTTTGAATCAGTGAAATGGTGGTAAATATTAATTAAGTATAAATTTATATTTAATATTATTTTATGTACTTCTTGTCTGCCTCAGGCGCTGGGGTCACTGGTCGACCCCAGCAACACCAAGTACGCGGACGCCCTCAAGGCGTTCCTGACTTACCTGAAGAACGACGCCCAGTACACACCTGGAGGCCTGGTCTTCCTGGACCCTTGGGGCTCGAACCGTCACGCTGCCAACGTCGCCTTCATCTCCCTCTGGGTCAGTCCAACAGTGTAACAAAGACACCGACAAGCACCGTATCATTGGTTGCAATTATCACCATATTGGAATTATTACTATAGACTGAGAGACTAACAGTTAACAAACATATACAACCCGGCTGTTATTACCTGCAGGCGGCCAAGTACGGAGACCCAGCTGACGCTGCGGCCAACAGGGAGTGGGCTGACGGTCAACTTGGCTACATCCTGGGTGACTTCGGTCACTCCTTCGTCGTGGGCTTCGGTGTCGACCCGCCCACACGCCCCCACCACCGCTCCAGGTGCGTCCCCGCATTCCTCTTCTGCCACAGTCACTATCACCAGTCACATGAAGCACTATCATCCCTACCTGCTGCCACAGTCACTATCACCACTCACATGAACCACTATCATCCCTACCTGCTGCCACAGTCACTATCACCACTCACAGGCTTCTACAATTTTATCAAAGTTCTACCAATGTTTCAAGGAAAAAGCTTAATATTTATGCCATAAAAAGACTAAAAAAGTCATATTTTTCACCATTAAATCTTAAATATGTCAAAATATTTAAACTATAATTGACATGCAACTATAATTAACGTTGCATATCCAACACGCAACGAGTGAGAAACTCGTTACCTGTTCTGACTTGAGACATTTTCATTACTATTATGACGGAAAGTCAAGACAGTCGTGTTGTTTTTCCTCGCAGCTCGTGTCCCATACCACCACAGTCTTGTCTGAACAACAACTGGGGCCAGAACCATATATATATACATATATATATATATATATATATATATATATATATATATATATATATATATATATATATATATATATATATATATATATATATTTTGGTAGCAGTCTTTCCTGTAGACATATATTATTAAATATGACCGAAAAAGTAAGATTAATAATTCTAACACGAATTTTCTCAATCTTTCGTACATTATGCTTCACTGTTGGAGGTAAATCAAAAATCACTTCTCCAAATTCATTTTTATTTCTAGTCTGACGCGACACGGGCGCGTTTCGTAAAACTTATTACATTTTCAAAGACTTCACAAATACACAACTGATTAGAACTTGCGTTTCCCTGATTTTATATCTACATTTGAGTGAGGTGGGAAGGGTGATGTGGCATTACATTTGAGTGAGGTGGGAAGGATGATGTGGCATTAACACAAGACAGAACACTAGAGGATATTAATAGGGTATTAAAAGTATCAACACAAGACAGAACAGAAACAATGGGTATTGAATAGAAGTGTTTGTAGAAAGCCTATTGGTCCATATTTCTTGATGCTTCTATATTGGAGCGGAGTCTTGAGGTGGGTAGAATATAGTTGTGCAATAATTGGCTGTTGATTGCTGGTGTTGACTTCTTGATGTGTAGTGCCTCGCAAACGTCAAGCCGCCTGCTATCGCTGTATCTATCGATGATTTCTGTGTTGTTTACTAGGATTTCTCTGGCGATGGTTTGGTTATGGGAAGAGATTATATGTTCCTTAATGGAGCCCTGTTGTTTATGCATCGTTAAACGCCTAGAAAGAGATGTTGTTGTCTTGCCTATATACTGGGTTTTTTGGAGCTTACAGTCCCCAAGTGGGCATTTGAAGGCATAGACGACGTTAGTCTCTTTTAAAGCGTTCTGTTTCGTGTCTGGAGAGTTTCTCATGAGTAGGCTGGCCGTTTTTCTGGTTTTATAGTAAATCGTCAGTTGTATCCTCTGATTTTTGTCTGTAGGGATAACGTTTCTATTAACAATATCTTTCAGGACCCTTTCCTCTGTTTTATGAGCTGTGGAAAAGAAGTTCCTGTAAAATAGTCTAATAGGGGGTATAGGTGTTGTGTTAGTTGTCTCTTCGGAGGTTGCATGGCTTTTCACTTTCCTTCTTATGATGTCTTCGATGAAACCATTGGAGAAGCCGTTATTGACTAGAACCTGCCTTACCCTACAGAGTTCTTCGTCGACTTGCTTCCATTCTGAGCTGTGGCTGAGAGCACGGTCGACGTATGCGTTAACAACACTCCTCTTGTACCTGTCAGGGCAGTCGCTGTTGGCATTTAGGCACATTCCTATGTTTGTTTCCTTTGTGTAGACTGCAGTGTGGAAACCGGGCGGAGGTTTCCACACTGCAGTCTACACAAAGGAAACAAACATAGGAATGTGCCTAAATGCCAACAGCGACTGCCCTGACAGGTACAAGAGGAGTGTTGTTAACGCATACGTCGACCGTGCTCTCAGCCACAGCTCAGAATGGAAGCAAGTCGACGAAGAACTCTGTAGGGTAAGGCAGGTTCTAGTCAATAACGGCTTCTCCAATGGTTTCATCGAAGACATCATAAGAAGGAAAGTGAAAAGCCATGCAACCTCCGAAGAGACAACTAACACAACACCTATACCCCCTATTAGACTATTTTACAGGAACTTCTTTTCCACAGCTCATAAAACAGAGGAAAGGGTCCTGAAAGATATTGTTAATAGAAACGTTATCCCTACAGACAAAAATCAGAGGATACAACTGACGATTTACTATAAAACCAGAAAAACGGCCAGCCTACTCATGAGAAACTCTCCAGACACGAAACAGAACGCTTTAAAAGAGACTAACGTCGTCTATGCCTTCAAATGCCCACTTGGGGACTGTAAGCTCCAAAAAACCCAGTATATAGGCAAGACAACAACATCTCTTTCTAGGCGTTTAACGATGCATAAACAACAGGGCTCCATTAAGGAACATATAATCTCTTCCCATAACCAAACCATCGCCAGAGAAATCCTAGTAAACAACACAGAAATCATCGATAGATACAGCGATAGCAGGCGGCTTGACGTTTGCGAGGCACTACACATCAAGAAGTCAACACCAGCAATCAACAGCCAATTATTGCACAACTATATTCTACCCACCTCAAGACTCCGCTCCAATATAGAAGCATCAAGAAATATGGACCAATAGGCTTTCTACAAACACTTCTATTCAATACCCATTGTTTCTGTTCTGTCTTGTGTTGATACTTTTAATACCCTATTAATATCCTCTAGTGTTCTGTCTTGTGTTAATGCCACATCATCCTTCCCACCTCACTCAAATGTAATGCCACATCACCCTTCCCACCTCACTCAAATGTAGATATAAAATCAGGGAAACGCAAGTTCTAATCAGTTGTGTATTTGTGAAGTCTTTGAAAATGTAATAAGTTTTACGAAACGCGCCCGTGTCGCGTCAGACTAGAAATAAAAATGAATTTTGGAGAAGTGATTTTTGATTTACCTCCAACAGTGAAGCATAATGTACGAAAGATTGAGAAAATTCGTGTTAGAATTATTAATCTTACTTTTTCGGTCATATTTAATAATATATATATATATATATATATATATATATATATATATATATATATATATATATATATATATATATATATATATATTATATATATAAGTCTGGTCGAGTTCAACTAGACGTCGACCTCCTGAGCCATGAGTCTGGTTGAGTTCAACTAGACGTCGACCTCCTGAGCCATGAGTCTGGTCGAGCTCAACTAGACGTCGACCTCCTGAGCCATGAGTCTGGTTGAGTTCAACTAGACGTCGACCTCCTGAGCCATGAGTCTGGTTGAGTTCAACTAGACGTCGACCTCCTGAGCCATGAGTCTGGTCGAGTTCAACTAGACGTCGACCTCCTGAGCCATGAGTCTAGTTGAGCTCAACTAGAGGTCGACCTCCTGTGTAATGGGTTTGGTTGAGCTCAACAAGACGTCAACGTTCTGTACCATGAGACTGGTTGAGCTGAACCAGACGTCAATCTCTTGTCCCAACAAACTAGTTAAAAGAAAAACATCACCATCAAGGAACCAATAGCCTCACAGTCCCTGTATACTGCTAACAATTAAAAAATATATTATACATATATCTTTCAATGAGTTCTATTCTCAAATATATATTTCAGAATAACTTTTGGATATATTTCAAGTTCTGTGTTGTACTGAAATTGTTTAACAACTGAAATTAATGTTGAAAGCAGAACAATATTTCGTATATTTGTTGCTCTGAGGTAGAAATGGAGGGAGACAATGATGAAAGCTTAACATTATCATCACCCTAGAGGCTTAACACTATCATCACCCTAGAGGCTTAACACTATCATCACCCTGGGGGCTTAGCATTACCATCACGCCAAGATAAGACCCCGAAGGGTTTAACCCTACTTATTAGTGAGATCATAACTTAAATTGCAAGTTTTATTCATAATTATTGGCTGAAAGGGAGATAAATAACAGGAGAAAGGGAAGTAGAGGAGGAGGAGGAGAGGGAGAGGAAAGCAAAAATTAAGAAGAGCAGAAATATTGTTAAAAGCTAATTAAGAAAGTTTTGCTTTAATAAATGCCAGAGAATTCAAACGATTTTATTCATAGGTTTCAAATGATGCATAAGTCTACATAAATTGTTTTAAAAAAAATGCAATCCTCTAAAGTTGTTAAAAACTAACGGAAAAGTTGCAAAATAATTATTAAAACATTCATTCAATTCATTTGAATTGAATTTAAATTCTAATGGATTTATTTTATTTAATATTTCGAAGCATTAAAAATTAATAACATTCTAAAGGAACTATATTATTTCATAACCAGTAAACTTCTTATAGATTTGAACAGGTGGGAAAGTTTATCCACGAAAAAGTTAGACGCCTGGGAAAAGTCTGTCGTTGCGAGGAAAGTTTATACCTTCCACGAAAGTTTGTTCCAATGGAAAATTTTAAGCCTGTGAGATAAGTAGACATGGCGGAAAAGTTTGACCCCAAAGGAAAGTTTGACACCACCATAAACTTCCATCCGGTGGAATATTCGATCTCGTGGAAAGTATTCAACTAAAACTTTCATTGAATAAAAAGCGGAAACCAAGGGAGCATCTTGAGGGTAGAGGAGAGGACGGGAGGCTGCAGAGAGTGATTACAAGATGAGGAGAAGATGAGAAGCTTCAAGAGGATAGGTTAGGTTCAAGAGACCTGAGATGGGAATTAGAAATTCTTTTTAAGAGGAGAAGAAGAAATAGTCTCTGAAGATAAACATGCAAATATAAATAGCTGCTCAGATAAACAGTTTAATCTGTTGGATTAATAATTATGACATTCCAAACAAAAAATGGCATTTCAGAGCCGGTAGAACAGTGTAGTATTGGGGTCAATGTCTGGGAAGGTAAGGTCGAGAGTGTATACTTACGTGCTCCTTTCGTGCTCCTTTCGTGCTCCTTACGGCGTTAAGGCAAGTAGTAACCTGTTGCATGTATACCGATTGAAGCCATGGAAAAGTATTCACAAGTCGCTGTATACTCAGAAAAGTGACGAGGAAAGTTCATGTATACTGACGAAATTATAAGAAATTAGTCATGTGTCTCATGTATTCTGATAAAATACTGAGAAAATACTGGAGGGCCTAGTCCTAAATTTACTCAGTAAAATTGACAACACGATATGGTAGGAAATGCAGAATAGAACCAGTAAGGCGTAATGGTTCCATCGACACAGTCAGTGAACACTGAATGAACCTCAGAGGTCCACGGGTATTGAATACCTTCCCAGCTAGCAGAAGAAATTGTGCAAGACGAGCAGACTCGACCCGCTGGCCTGCAGGCCGCTCCAACCAACAGTCTGTTGGACCAAGTGATCACAAGTCAAGCCTGGTCCTAGGACAAACTTGGGGGAGTAGAAGAACTCTAAGAATCCACTACAGGTACGATAAAGGTAACGACTGTAGTCACACGGCACG